TTCAAAGGTGATATGACTTTATATACAGAAACCCCAAAAGATTCCACCAAAAAGCTCCTAGTACTAATAAATGATTTCAGTAAAGTCACAGGATATCACATTAATGTTCAAAAATCAGTTGCATTTCTTTACACCAACAACAAACAGGTTGAGGACCAAATCAAGAACACAATACCATTCACAATAGCCACACAAAAAAATAATATAACTCAGAATACATCTAACCAAAAGGTGAAAATCTCAATAATGAGAGCTATAAAACACTGCTGAAAGAAATCAAAGATGACACAAACAAATGAAAAAATTTCTCATGCTCATGAATTGGAAGAATCAACACTGTCAAGATGTCCATACTACCCAAAGCAATCTACAGATTCAACGCAATCCCTATCAAACTGCCAGCATCATTTTTTCACAGACCCAGAAAAGACAATAAATATCTTCATATGGAAGCAAAAAAAAAAAAACCAAAAAACCCAGAATAGCCAAAACAATCCTAAGCCAAAAGAACAGTCAGAGGCATCACACTGCTAGACTTCAAATTTTATTACAAGGCTACAGTAACCAAAACAGCATAGTACTTGTACAAAAATAAACACATACACCAGTGGAACACAATAGAGAACCCAGAAATAAAACCACAAACCTACAACCAACTCATCTTTGACAATGCCAAAAAAAAAAAAGGAACACTGGAGAAAGGACACCCTATTTAACAAATGGTGCTGAGAAAACTGGCTAACTATATATGTAGAAGAATGAAGCTGGGTCACTACCTATCACCATGTACAAAAATTAATTCAAAATAGATTAAAGACTTAAACGTAAAACCTCAAACCTAGGAAACAGCCTCCTGGACATCAACTTAGGCAATGAATTCATGACCAAGTCCTCAAAAGCAAATGCAGCAAAAACTGAAGTTGACATGTGGGACCTCATCGAGCTAAAAAGCTTCTACACAGCAAAATAAACTATCAACAGAGTAAAGAGACAATGCACAGAATGAGAGAAAATATTTGCAAACTATGTATCCAAAAAGGCCTAATATTCAGAATCTACAAAGAACTCAAATGAATCAACAGAAAACAAAAATAACCCCATTAAAAACATGAACATGAAAATGTGGGCAAAAACCACAAACAACATTTCTGAAAGGAAGACATACAAGTGGCCAAGAAACATGAAAAAATGCTCAATATCACTAATCATCAGACAAATGCAAATCAAAATCACAATGAAATGCCACCTTACACCAGTCAAAATGGCTATTATTAAAAAGTAAAAAACAAAACAAAACAGAGATTGGTGAGGCCGTGGAGAGAAGGGAACGCGTGTACATTATTGGTAGGAATATAATATTGTTCAACCCCCATGGAAAGCAGTTAGTAGATTTCTCAAAGAACTAAAAATAGATTTACCACTGGAACCAGCAATCCTATACTGGGTATATTAAGGAGCATAAATAGTTTCACCAAAAAGATACTTGCACTAATATGCTTATAGCAGAACTATACACAAGAGCAAAAACAGGTAAACAACCTAGGTGCCCGTCAATAGTGGACTGGATAAATAAAATGTGGTACCTATACACCATGGAATACTACACAGTCATAAAAAGGAATAAAATCATATTCTTTGCAGCAACATGGATGCAACTGGAGGTCATCACTCTAAGAGAAATATCACAGAAAAGAAAAATGGAACATAGCTTGTTCTCACTAGGCAAACACGGGCACAGGGATGGGAATAACATACACTGAGAGCTACTAAAGGGAGGAGGGAGGGGAAATAAGGGTACTATGCTCACCACCTGGGGGGCAGGCTCAACAGAAGTCAAAATTTCATCACTACACACTATACCTATGTAACAAGCCTGCACATGGACCTCTTGGGTCTAAAATAAAATAAAAGTAAAAGTAAAAAATAAAAAAAAAGAACATCCCCCCCAAAAAGGAAAGAAAATAAACAAAACCACTAAAGAGTTATTCCTACTATCCACTAAAATCAATAAAGGAATCAAAATTAAAAAATAAAATATGCTCAAGGCTATATAGTTGGTGGCTAAGGGCAGTAGATGTGGATCTTGAAACTTGACCTGACCCCAAAACCTACACTGTCACCAGAAGGCCACCATGTACCTGGCAGTTACTGTTGTGTATACGATCCACCAATAGGTCTAGAACAGCCCCAAGATGAAGGTGGCTAAGCCTGCACTGAGTGAAAACTCAGCCTGGAGCTAAAGGGCTGCACTTGCTCCCGAGGGAACAAAGAGGCTGAGAGAGCCAGTGCCCGCAGGATGAAAGTGACTCTAGGCACTCATGGCCACTCAAAGCTAACACTGCTTTATAAAACTAGTAAGAAATTAAAAAAAATAATAATAAAAAGGAAATAAGGGGGGAAGAGACCAGCAACTCAAGCACGCATGTTTACGAGCATTATCTCTGACAGGAGTGAAATCCAGGAATTACTGCCATTAACTAAGCACTGATCATGTGCCAGGTACTGTAAGTTAGATATTTCACTATTAAATCATTCAATTCTCATTTCTTCTTCCTTAGAGTTGAAGGAGTTGAAGAAAATGAACTTCAGAGAGGTGAATTATTTTGTCCAAGGACACACAGCTAGAAGTGACACAAACAGGATTTGATCTATTTTGGTTTTAAGTTTTTTTATCTGCTACATAATGTTGCCTCACCCAAACCTGTCTGTGTGCACTTATCCATAAATGTGCTGATGCAGGTGATACCTCCAAAATCAACAGGAGGAAGGAGAATATACAATTATTAGAAATGAACTTTGTGGGAAAAATGACTTTTTAAAGGAATAATAAAGCAAAACACTAAAACAAAAAGCATTATTTTTCTTGTGACTCTACCTGTTAACTTCCCAGCAGCACTGACTCAACAAATAAATGTGAGGCAATTTCTATTGTATTAACAAGGCTGATTCCTAATAACTATGTTACCAAGTTTGATTAAACAGTAAGGCAAACTGCTGCCTTTAAAGAAGAGGGAGCACCAAACACCACTTGCTAAATCAATATTAAGTGCTTTGCCACTCACAAGTAATGATGCCAGGAGGTAATGATTTCCTGCTTTTGTAATAGCTGTGCATCTGCATAATCACACTGCTATCAGGTATAATGATATGCCAGGAACAGTTTTGCACATTACTCAATTGCCTGATAATTTATAATATATTCAGAGACCAATGAAGCATCCTGTTTGTACAGATATGACATCCTTTTATGTAACATTCGATGAAAGAAAAAGATATTCAATAAAATATCAGGATATTTTAAAAATATAGATATCACAAGAAACATTCACCTGAACATATTACTGTGCCCCAAATGGTGAAGTCTGTGCAATATTTATCATAAATAACATTATCACCCATGTAGCAATTTGATGTGTACTTAAAATGTAGATGCAACAATTTTCAATACAATTAATAAAAATTAAAGTGCTAATTTATAAGCATTTCTTGGCATTTAGCAAGATTTGACCCCACTCAATACTCCCACTTCTTTAATTTTTTTCTTTCATGGCTTCTCTAGAGTCCTCTGTTTTCCCTCCTACCTCTCCTGCTGCTCTCTTTTTGCTCCTTTTGCCAGTGGCTCTTCCTCTACCATCAAATGTGAAAGGCCCTCAAGGGTTGTCTTGAGATGTTCTCCTTTTCTCATTCTATATTCTTTCCCAAAGCACATCCACAACATGGCTTATATATCATCTATGGGCATATGGCTCCCAAGTTAGTATTTCCAGTTCTGCTTTCTCTTTTTGAATCCCAATTCTTTAAGATCCAGCTGCCAACTAGGCCCTTCCTTGTGGGTGTTCCATGTATATAACTTCCTCACTCCCTTTTCTCCACACTCACTCGCAAAGGACCTTGACCTCATGGAATGCCTCCTATATCACTGAGCAATGGCACCTCCAACAGGTAGACCAAGTAAGAATCTGGGGATGATTCTTGACAACTCCTCTTCCACTCTCCCTTATATCTAGTTTATCCTCATAAACCACCATATTAAGTACTATCTCTGTCACATTTAACTGTCTCTGAAACCTCCCTTTCTACTTTCAAATTCCTTCTTCCAGCAATTGTCATCTGCCATGTGGTCTACTACCATCTAGCTCCCTAACTGGTATGTGTGTGTGTGTGTGTGTGTATATATATATATATATCTACCCCAGCTTCCCTAAAAAGCGATCTTATCAAAATGCAGCTCAGGTTACACAAAGCTCCCCTGGTTCACCAAAATCCTTAATTAGCCTTCTATTTTTCTTAGGAAGAAACCAAAGCCCTTACAAGGAGCTCCACAGTCTTGCTGTGCAGCTTGGCTCCACCTGCCTCCTTGGACCTCCCAGCACTATCCATCCATCAGGCCCTCAGATCCATCATGTTCCAAATCCAAGGGCCTCTGCATTTACTATGTTGTCTACCTGGAAAATGGTTCCCTTCTCCTGTGTAGTTAATTCTGACCCAACACTTTTGTCTTTACTCATGTATTATTTCCTCAGGAAAGCCTTCCTTAACTATATACAGCAAAACGCCTCACTGGATTCTCTTACATAGTACTTGTCACAGTTTTAATTTCACATTTGTCTGTGTCATTATTCAATCATCATCCACCTCCAACTGTAGAACTACAAGTTCCAAGATATCTGGGATGCCTGCTTTTACTCACCACTGTGACCCCAGTTCTAACACTGTACTTAGCACACAGCAGCGTCTCAATAAAAACCTTTGCCTGAAATAGAAATGAACAATAAAGCATCTAGCCCAAGGCCATTATTATTACTGGAAAATAAAAACTAATAGATGATTGATAGAATATTACTATATCAAAGATGTATACAGAGAGAACATACCAAGATACTAGTCTATTATAGCCAAAAAAAATATTAAAATTGTACTTTACAACTTCAAGGCTCTTCTGAAACAGACTCTGAAAAGAAAGACATGGAAATAAACATACATATGAATTGTGTCCTTACCCACTGTCAGTGAACAGAAACTCCAAATGGGTCATAAAAACTTCCCAGCGGGAGACACTGTAACGTTGTGCCAGAGAAAGAGCAATACTGTAGACGTTTTCCTCAAGGGTTCTTCAGGAATGTCCATCAGATCCAGGAAAGGGAGAGAAGAGAAACACATTACTTCAATCAGTACAGAAAATGCTCATTAGGACTGCTCTCCAGCTGTGAGGGGTACAGTTGGTACAGTCTTTAATAAGACATCTCACAGAGATTCAGGAAGAATACTTCCAAGGAATTTTAATGCTCCTTTTTCACTGTGGTGTATTGTAATTTGCCAAAAGACTTGTCTAGACCAGTGGTTCTCAACTGTGGATAATTTCATCCCCCAGGGGACATGTGACAATGTCTGGAAATGTTGATCATGATGAGTGGGGGGAGGGGTAGATACCCTACTGGCATCTACTGGGTAGAGGCCAGGGATGCTACTGAGTATCCTACCCTGAACAGGACAGCCTCTACAGAGAAGAATCATTCAGTTAAAATGTCAACAGTCCTGTGGTTGAAAAAACTCTGAACCAGACTCTGGAGCTTATGGTCATAGCATACCTATGGGTAGATATATGACAAAGCACAGTCACTCAACAAACTATGTTTCATGTTTTCTACATTATATCAGGTATTGAGCTAGCTGCTTAGGAGATAAGTACAAACGAGCGACTTCATGAGGAACTCACAGCCTAGTGGAAGATGGAAGATGTGGGCCAGCATCTAAATGGTAGTGCTAAAAGAGAAGACTATGAAGCTCTGTGAGAACAGAGGAGAAAGTGACCAGTGCAGGCTGAAGGATGAACATGCACTAACTCAGTGGAGGTGGGCAAGAGTGGAAAAGAGACAAATGGGCATCTGAGGGATGAGGGAGAAAGGGCATCCCAATGAGCAATGTCTAGGGATCCTCAGGCCTGCTGAGGACCCAGTGCCTCATTCTCCAGGCATCAGGGAGTCAGTAGAAGGGTTAAACTGGGAAATGGCTTTGCCAGATTTGAGAATCTCGAGGCATATAAAGAATTCCAAAGAAGCAGTCCTGAGCACCCACATTAAGGCCATGCTGGGAGACTACTGCAGGACCTCTACTTCCAGAAATAGAGAAATGGAGGACAAAATTCTTGCTTAGAAGAACGGTGTGGACAAAACTATGGGAGCAGAAATGAAATCTCCATTATGATTAAGTATCACTGCTAAGATAACATTTGCCCCCAGCTAAGGACACCATGGAATTGGTATGCTTGTTTTCTGGGCTGGGCCCCCTAGTAAATACTTCAGGCGTTACTGTTAGTCTCTCTGGCATGGTCTTCTTTTTATCGCTCTGAATGGTTTTGTTTTTCCACAAGCCTTTGGAAACACAAAACCATTCTTTACTCACAGGCTACAGGAAAGAGGTCAAGGTTGGACTAAGTCTGTCAACCCATGGATTAGATCACTGTCAATGAAAATTATTTCTTATTTATTGGGTACCTACCTGTACATGATGGAAGGAGAATTCCTCGAGAATAGGGACCATTACTAATGATGGTTTCTATCATAGGAATCTGGCACACTGCCTGTCTCAGGGAAATGCTCATTATGTTTTTATTGCTCAATAGAGGTAGGAAGAACCCAAACTCTGTTACATCTTCTTCAAAGCTACCCTGTCTGACCTTTGGGAATGCATTATCTAGGACATACAGATAAGAAGACATACAGATATAATGTACTTACAGAAAACAACTGCCATAAAAATGGACACATACTGAGTAAGAAAATTAAGAATGGTCATTTTGTATACCAGGAAAGGTAGAGCTACAAATGAGAGGAAGTGAGTCCTTCAAGGATTCTTTTACACAAGGCACTGAAATCCCAGTTCCAAAGCAGAAAACCCATGGAAACTTTGAGGCTTTGAGGCATGTTAAACAAGCCATCCAAAGACTGCTGTATACTTTTCTAAGCAACAGATTGTAGAGAAGATTCTATTATATATTTATCAAAAGCATATATTTGTCCTCTAGGACATACTTCAAATAGCATATGCTAGTTGTATACTTAAAAAAGAAAATAAAAGCCAAAAATTCCAGTAAAATGTAACTGATGATATAATGCATGTCTTGCCTTATACACTTGTATTTTGCATCATAACCCTAAGAAACCAGGAACATGGCAGCAAGGATTACAAATGCCCACAGGAAAAGCACACTGGGCTTGCCTTAGGAAATCCAAGCTCAACTCCTGCCTGTGTGACCGTGAACAACTTTTTAAGGCTCTCTGATTTTCAGATTCTTTTTCCAAAAAGTAGGGAGGTTAGACTAAACCATCTCTCGAGTCACTCAAACTGGATCACTCTATGAAATTATGATCTCCAGGAGGACAGAGAAGGGGAAGAGGAAATAAAAAATTCCATATTCTCTTCAAGAGACCAGATATAAGTTGTTCCTGCTATACTTCTTTTGATCTCTCCATGCCCTCCCTTATTCTAAAGAGAATTTAGAATGTCTTCTAAAAAGACAGAAGTCCAGGTGAATATAAAATTATCAGAGGGTACCAAGGCTAGTTTGACACTTTCTCAAGGATTTAAAAGATAATGATGAAAAATATCATACACCACTACTATAATCAAGACTTTGTTACTGTTTGGGAAGACACATGCCCCACGAAACAGTGGAAAAAGTGGGGGAAAGCCCTATTTATAGCAACCATGAATGTAAATCTTCAAAGGACTGGGATAATTGCTCCTGATCATTCAACTTGCTCTTCTGCAGTTTAAATCCATTCCCTTATGAGCCAAAGGTATCCCTTACTCTGCCAGACCAAGGATAGTTTCCCTTTTATACTGGTCGTCTGCAGTAAATCGCTGCACATCCACACCCTTCCGGAGGCCCTGAAGGACCTGAGCCTGCGTGAAGTCCAGGAGACGTTCATTATAGTAGTGTAACTGCTTGATCAATGAAACAAGGTCTTCGGGCCAGGCTTCGTGTCCATGTCGAGTCACATGCCTGGTGACCATCCTGATTAGCTCTTTGGGATCAGCCTGTGAAAGGCATGGAAAAGAATATATTTTACAAACATCATATAAATATGAGCAAGTTAGCAACAAAGAGAAACCATGTCTGCAGGGCACTTGATTGGCCCTTCACACTAATGCCATTTAACAAGGCTCACAACTGTTCTGGGAAGTGAACAAAGCAGAAAAAAACGAGACACAGAAATGAGTCTAGAAATAATTTTCTGGACTCTTGTTCTTCTTCAGTCTTAAAAATCTCCATCCACTTATAAAATAATATATTCTTGCTTTTTCAACTACCATAAACCTACATCAGATTTGTTCACCAACCACCTGTTCATAGTAACTCACTCTAAAAGTAATTTTTGTCAGCATTGTAAATGACATCCATAGTAAATTTTCTGTGGCCCACCATAAGTATTCTCAGTAAGAAAGTTGCAGTTCAATAACTTCACTATAAATGGGTAGACAGCTGAGGAGAAAAGTATTTTCTCCAGGGATAAGTTAGAGGGGGAAAAAAAACCCTATCCCTGTTCTTGAAATCATACATACTTCCAGTTGTATGAAAAAAGCATCCAATGGACTTTTACAGTGCTCAATTTGGGGCTCAATGGATATTGTTCTGTTAGCTCCTCTAACAACAATAAAATTATTCAAATAGAACAAATCTCAGAATCCAACAGCTGACAGGAAAGGAGAATAAGTGATTAACTGGCCACATTTATTTACATTAAAGTTGGGCTGAGTGTCAACGAAGTAATGGAGCTCAGCCATGATTGTGGAATTACTTAACAGGAATTACTTAATACTTGAGCAGCATTAACTCAACAATCCCAATTTTTAGGAAGACATGGTACATATTTTAATATAAGCAAAATTAAAAAAACAAACAAACAAGAATCTACCCGTGGTTCTCAGAAATGCATTCCTAATTATAGTAAGCTGTCAACATTTCTGCTATGTAAGCCATTATTCTGAGTTACACAGATTTGTCAATGTCAAGTCTATATTACCAAACCTAGCCTGACATTCTCTCTCTTTATCCTATTAAGGAACAATATGGGAGTACTGATAAAAGCCAATTAAAGAAATCTGGGACTCTGGCAGGTGAATTTTATTAAAATTCAACCTTACTCTAATTTTTTCTCCTACTCAATGCATACAATAAGTCCTACTCTTAAAAACCACACATATGAGTCTCAAGTCAAAAGACCTGGATCTGAACACTAACTCTTCCATCGTAAGCTGCAAGGCCATTTTTCATTCAACAAATCCTTCTTGTATACCTATTATGTACCAAGTGATGTACTAGGAGAACAAGATCCTTTCCTCTAGGAATGCAGTCTATTAGGAGCGCTCTATTCCAAATCTCTTATTTTTTCTTCTGTAATAATAGCAGAAGGTGTTTCAGAATCATAAGGAAGAATACTGTTTTCTGTTCAACTCCCTGATATAAACACATCTGCTTTTAAAATCCTGCCTTAACAAGGTGCTGAAAAGGGGTATTCTATTAATTTCTTTTTTCTCTTTTTTTTTTTTTTTTGAGTTGGAATCTCACTCTGTTGCCCAGACTGGCGTGCAGTGGCCGCTCCTGGCCACTGCAACCTCGACCTGCTGGACTCCAGCGATCCTTCTGCCTCAGCCTTCCAAGTAGCTGGAACTACAGGCACACGCTACCACGCCCGGCTATCTATTAATTTCTTGATGACAGATTTGTAAGTATATACAAGTTTATGGCTCACCAAATATTTGTGAGATGTATAAAAATATTTCCAATACTTCAATTTATTGTGTAAAGCATAATACCTATGAGGAGAGACTTCTCACAAAAGCTGCCAAGAAAAAGTGAAATTAGTTATTGAGGGAAAAACACATGAACTGGCATCAAAGACCTAGACTACCAGTTTTTCCCTCCTGAACTTTAAGTTTTCCATTTCTAAAATCGAGGCAATTTTTTCTGAGTCCTCATAAAGATTAGATGAGACTGGATGGATGAACATGCTGTGAATTCTAGCTCCCTATGCAAATCAGTTTCTTATCATTGTCACTGCTGCTTTCCATCTCTACCTCAAGGAACTTTACCAGTTATGATCACTTTCAATATTCAACTTAAAGTTTAGTAAAAATACCTCCCCTGAGTTTATCATCACTTTTCTCAAAACTATTCCAAAGCACTCCTACTCATCTTCATACATTCATCCCAACACTTCATCTTATACATTCATTTATTCACCCCCACGATGTACAACACTTAAAGTTTCCAAAGTGTCTTCAGATGTTTTCATTTGACTCTCACACTAAGCCAGGAATGTGCATGGAGAGTGCTGCTCCTCTTTTATAGATGCTCAATCTGTACTCGAGGCATCAAGAGCGGTAGTCCCACAGTTGGGAAAGAAGTCAAGCCACCTGGCTTCAGGCCCACTCGCCCCATACGATGGACCAGGTCGCCACAGGTGTTCTACAACCAGCTTCACACCTAAAATCACTAGGGATTTTTGGCTGTTTAGAGTACATTTAAATTTCTTTCCCTGTTTTCCCCACCTAAGTTCAGTGACATGATCCACGAGTATGCAAGCGTTTAGCTTCTAAGAAGCTGTGGAGAGCTTTATGGGTAGCTGCAAAATCTTCCATAATCAGTATTCAATGTAATATTGCAAAACATTTCAGGCTGCAAAACCTAACAGCATAACAAACCATTAAGAATCTTAAAAGAAAACTGTGAAGTTAAATTATTCTATTTTCCCTCCAAAACTAAGGCAATGCAGTTCTTCAGGGGGTGAGTAAAATATTATTTCTTTAAAGAATATGGCCAAGTCCTTGTAAAAACAAAATAAGCATAAATATTCATGACATAACAGAATGCTCAATGATTTAATCTACTGCTTACTAGTAGAGGTAATCAATCCATTCTGGCTTAATAGTCTCCATTTCTTGGTAATATTATTTGGAAAGTTTTAAACAGGTGGTGTGTTTCCCCTTTAGGGTTGTTATTTTGCTTGAGATAATTTTCTACTTAGTATTTTCAATTAGTAGCTTAAAAAAACACACATTTTAGAAATAGTCTACCATAAAATTTTGAATTTCATCCCTGCTGAGTTTGCTTCCCTAGCCTATAAAACTAGAGGACGTGGTTCCATTTTTAACTGATTTTATCTTATGTAAACTTTTTTAAAAGAATAGAAGAAAGATCCCACTTCAGGATACATTTACAATAATTATAAAGGTAAGTTATAAGTGAAAAAAATCAAGGTACAGAACAATGTGTATAGCTTATTTACATCTGTCTAAAAAATTGTTATATAAACATATATAACCACAAACTATCTCTGGACAGATATGAAAGAGAAACCCTTGAGTTTTGGGGTTGTGTATATTACATTTTAAACATAAAAATGAGTTAATTTGGACAAATACTAGAAGAGAAAATTATCTTTGACTGGTCATTTGCCCATCATCATTATATAAAACTAAGAGAAAATGCAGGCAAGGTAGGCAGCTCTGAAGATCATCTGGGAAAGGTACCAAGCTCTGTTGGCTGGCTTAGGACGGTGCTACCCTTCACGGTGTACAAACTTTGAATCAGAAATAACCTCACAAATTCTAGCAATACTTTTATTCAAACCTCGTAATCTACCTAAGTTGGCATTACTGCAGCACATAACTCCAGGGGGTGGAAAGAGAAAATGTGAAGCCTGTAGGATTAGAAACAAGCTGAACTGACAACTGAGTGAAAGTTAAGCTTCACTGGGTGTTATTATGTGTAGGCAACAAATTGAAACCGCTTTGATTTCAATTTCCAAGATGATTCATCTGGAGTTTGTCATATTTAATTCCAAACTCAGCAGTGCTGTTTTATGCAGAGGAAGATGCTGAACAGACTCAAATAATGAACCATTAGGCAGTCAATGAAAAACTCTTGTGTACTTAAAACATTCAGCTATTGTGCCTACAGGTGTTTCCTTCAAATCCAACAGGGTCAGGACTCAAAAACACAAACTGGAAGCCCCAAGGCTGTCCTGGCACACAGCACTTGACATGACTCCTGAACTTATTCATATGCCAATCAACAGTCACAGAATAACTACAGTGGGTTAGGTCTGAGGTTACACGAAGTGCTAGAATTCCTCTCCTCAAATAAGGTCACCACATTGAGAGGAGAGACTATAATGCACTAAAAGAACAGCTTCCATGAGTGCCTAACACAGAGCAGAGAAAGATGGAAGAAGGGGGCCGAGGTCTGTGGCGGAGGCAGGAGGATTGGGCGGTGGGGGTGGGGGGAGGTTGCCACTGAGTACAAACTGACCTGTTCATAGTGGAGAAAAGGAGGTGGTATTTCAGGCAGGAGAGGGGCAGTTATATCTGCACAGGCACAGAGGCACAACAAAGGATGTTAAATTCAGAGAAATCTAAGTTCTGAGTAGCTAGAACATAAACTTCAAAAGAGGCAGTGTCAGAAAACACGGCTGGAGGGTAAGCAAGAGCCAGCCAGCTCACTGAGGGTCTTATCTGTCATATACAGGAGTTTAGATTTTACGTGGCAGACAGAGCACTGCTTGAAAATAACCTGCTGGGAACTGCCTGTTAGACTTGCAAACCAGAGACATCTCTCAGGTCCAAAAAAGAGTGGTACCACCTCTTTGGAAACAAAGTAGAGCAGTTGCACATCCAAGTAAAAAGCAGGTAAGGCCTGGGATCAGGGGCTCTAAGTGACAGCATGTCACTTTTCACCAGAATGACCTTGAGCAAGTAACCATGCTGCTGAGGCTTATCTTCTCTGAAGATTCCTCTTCTGCAAAATGGGGTTGCTCCAAGGATCAAACAGCAGAATAAATGTGAAAGGTACTTTCTGACAGCTGTTTGGGAAAACTCACACCATGTTTTCTTCTGCTTTCATGCCACAATAATCATCAACACAAAAGAACATGTCTATGGTCAAAGTGGGAGGGAGTTTCTCACCACCACCAAGTGAGCAACCAGTTCTGAGGCAGACTCCCACTGGGTGTCCTCCAGTACAATTCTTGGAGACA